TCTCTTGTGAAGGCCTTCAAGACAACAGCGGGCCATCTGGCGCCAGTAGAAGAGATCTCCGGCTACGCGACCAGCAATGAAGTAGAGACCTCAGCAAGTGACGCCCGCGGTTCACTATCCAGAACCTCACAAGAGAAGGCATCAGGCAGGGGAAAGCGTGTTAAGCAGACGTTCCGAGGGGACAATTCGATGTCAAAAGCAGAAAAAAGCATTAACCCCGTGATTGGAATCGTGTCTGCGCTTCTGCCCGGGCGGAATGTTAAGCGGAGGAGCATATGGGAACTGCGTCAGAAGTATCCCAGGCTGTCGAAACACTCACAGTCTATTAGTTCAACCAGTGACGCTCTCGTTCAGAAGGAAACCAAGTTGAAAAGGGCAGCATGGAAGGACAAAAACGGGACTGGTAGAAGCGATGAATCCAGTGATGATTTTACTCACTTCCACAAGGTGGTTCTTCAGGAGGCAATGCAGAATACCAAAGTGACAGTCGAGGACCGACGCAGGTCTTCGGGTCAGCCTCGTCCTAGTATGCATTTAGGACGTCGGATAAGTCTTCCCTGGGTGCTGCGGAATGACATTTGCAGAAAAGACAATCCCGAGGTGCGAAAAGTGTCGTGAAGCGGGCGACCTGTTATTTACTGTCTACATTGTAGCAAAATATGTCATTGAGAAAACTGCCTATTTTGGGCATTTGATTTTACAGTCTGAAGCGTATAAAATGGAGCAATGTTTTGACTTTATTTTACGGTTTTAAGAAAACCATCTGTAAAGCCGTTCGAGAGTTTTTATTCTCCCACATTAGCGTCAAGATACCCAGCATTCATTTACGCAAAGAGAAGGGACGCTCACCGGCCTATGAAGGGCAGAATTAGAGGGTAGCTTATCGCAGGGGCTTAACTGAGTTAAACCCTGGCAACCGCAATCTTCTGGCCCGGTTTCCTAGGAGAAGAGAAGTCGTGGGAAGTGTAAAAAGATTAACATTGGAGATGAAGACAAGGTTGAGGGGGTGAGAATGACCAGCTGATAATGCCTACTGAAACAGAAATGGGGCCGTTCCATCCTACCGTCCCTGGGAGTAAAAGCCCATTCCGTGTCCTGAGTGACTGTGTCCAGTCGGGTTTTGAACTAGCCCCATTTTGGCACCCTCGTTGTCACAGAGACGCCGAATTTAGGGGGCGATTAGACACTAGTGTGCTCACAATACCGACAACAAAGAAGATGTGACTCACAGCACAGTCAGACATGTGACTGCAGCGACTGTTTCATGGCTCGAGGTATTCGACTCTTGGTAGAGCTGTCGGGCAGTGATGTTCGAAAGCAATGGTCTTTCTAGTCTGCCATTCCAGAAAAGGCTGTCGAATAGAATAATGTCTGCGACAGTTAAAGTATCTGCTCAGGTTCATGGTCACAAGTGAATTCCCTCCGGATACGCTGCCGTTTTCCGTCTGTCCATTGTGTAACATCTTGACTGCACATGCTTAGAAACTCCATTTTTTCGTTTTCTGTTTTAGTCTTGACCACGCTGATTGACACACCAACTACTGTGACCATCTCATTCGCTCGAAACGCAATGGAAGTCGCCATTGGCATTGACGTTAACGCTGTTAAGGTAGATAAGCCGGGTTCTGGGAACAAAAGTGCGACACCGTCAGAAGCGCACGTACCTCTTCCGATAAAACAACGAATGGTGTAGACATAATGTCGTCTTGTCGATGTCAGCCCAGGTGCGACAAAGATTGCTCTAGACCAGAGCTTGCGTGGATTTGGAACAATAGCAATGTTTGATCAAAACGAAGATTTTATGCCGACTTATCGTCTGGCTTCACTGTAGGAAGGCAACATGAACGTAACTTAACGTTGCAACAGAGTCAATAAGGCAGCCGTTTGTCACTTGCTGCTAATGGAACGTTCGGTCTTCGATGCAGATAAAGTCCGCCATGTCCTCCACAGCATGGTTGTACAGAGAGAATGACTTACGCGTTGATTACGGTTAAGTGGTGATAAAGCTGCGTGGCTTTTGCTGCACCCCCCTTCCCTTCGGCCGCCCCAGCATAAAATCTCCCTATAAATTTTGATTTTGTCAATTCCAGTAATCGGCGTTTAGATAGCAAAGGTAGTTTAAGTAATGGACCTTATATACCCAAAGGCTCAGCATTAAGTCGTGCGAGACTGGTGTTTTTTGGGGGTCTTGTGCGTGGGAAAATAGCATAGGCAGTGAAGGCCATTTTCAGAGGTAAGTGTAGAATGGTATAATGTGGTTGAATTTGCTTACTGCGACCGCTAACTATCCACGCAATAGAGCTTGTAGATCGAAACCATAAGCAAAAGCAGCATTTAATAAATAAGAGTTATTTAAATAAACAGACAGGTGTAAATGTGTGACAAGACAGGAACCAATGGGATTAATATCTGGATGCATACAATAGTTATTAAAGTTAAATGGATCCGACAAAGCAAAGGGAAACCGAAATGGCTATTTCTAGCTTATTAGCCGTCATCAGCTAGTAATACCCAATCTCAAAGGTTGGAACCCCCGAGATTTGAACCCGGGACCTTTTTTCGTTGAGGTTAATACTCTAGCACTAGTCCACGGGCTCCTTGCTTTGTATTAAAGTATATTCCAGCATTCCAGTATTCCAACAAAATTCCGCACCGCGTCGCCGATGCCGCACTGAGTAAAACCACAAAACTAATCTGGTCTACCACTATATAATTACTTCTACAAATTTCCTCCACTGCCTATCGTAATTCCCCACCCATAAAAACACCGGTCCCGTAAGACAGAATGCTGGAACTAGGGCGTATATGGGGTCCATTGTCCAAAATACTCTTGCCGTTTAGATATTTAACAACAGACAACCAATGTGTTTCTCCGTGACAACAATGTTAGGGTGTTAGACAAGAAATTACCCACAACTAGTTCACAACCTCAGATGATTAAAGAAATAGTTCGAAGGATCTGCAAATAAAATGGGCATACGCAGATCCCTGTGCGTGAATTATGCTTATCTGATATTGTCTCCGCTATTTCTTCTGATGCAGGATCCATGACGGACATAGAACCGTCGGACAAATGAAATACTTGTCCCAGCAAGCACATTCACTTTTCCTCAAACCTTCATAGTCCCCTGGATGAAAAATCGAGTTTTCTACATAAAGGGAACCGAATGGTCCATTAGCAGCAAGTGACAAAAGGCTGCCTTGTTGACCCTGCTGTAACATTGAAGTCCGTTCATGGTAATTTCCCGTGGTGAAGTCAGGCTATACGTTGGGGTAAAATTTTCGTTTTGATCAAGGCCTGCTATGGTCCTTAATCCACACAGGCTCTGATGAACAGCAATATTGGTCGGACCTGGCCTGGCATTGACAAGACGACATTATATCTACAACATTCCCTCTTTTATCAAAAGGAGTCTCAATGCGCTTCTGGCGGTGGTAGCCGTATTAGTCTCGGACTCCTTAAGCCTTTCTTGACTCGTAATGAGAGTGAGTGAGGGTAGGTAATGTGGTAGTATCCGCGCAACATCTCTTGTCACTTAAGACTGATTTAGGCGGTGTTTCTGACTTGCATTAGAGAAAGCGGCCAATGCCGGGTTCCGTTTGCTCTTCTTGACCCTGAGCGAAGGTAAAGAGTGTGGTGGGCGCAAACTACGTCCGCTATCACCATAATCTACTCCCTGAGGCCAGTCACCTTCACTGCTCCAGCCTGTTGGTGCGTATGGTGGACTTCGCCAAAATCGATGGTCGAACACACACCAGTCACCCTCTGCGTGATATCTGAGTCAGGCTGGTGGCGGCTCTCGCTGTCAGCGCACAATCCCGCCGCTGGTCTTCTTCAATCATGCAAAATGGAGGCCCCTTTAAAGGCATAAAGCAAATGTTCTCAGGTAATTAAAGTTATCTGAAGTGAGGGCATCAGCATTTGCAGACATTCACTAACATGGTTTTAAGCCGTTTGTCTGAAAAAATAATTTACTTTATACAGACTCCACCCGCACAAATCATGTGGCATGTCCTTTTTTCAGATTGTCAACCCCTCTCCCTCCCCCTAGTAAAAGGTCTCATAGGGTTGATTAAAATCCGAAAGCGATTCAACCCACGCTTTTTTGCGTGTGACGTAGTACACGAAAGGCCTGCGTATGTTACATTACCCATAAGAGTACAACTCGATGTTCCGAATATCTTGCATCATGGAAATAATAGTTTAGCAAGGAGCCCCGATTTCCATGTTGTGCAGGTGGAAATGGTTCATATGTTGGCTCAAGCATTTTGCAAACTTTTGAGCATCTCTTATGGGAAAAGTAAATTACACAGGCCTTTCGAGTAATACGTCACACGCACAAGAGCGTGAGTTAAATCGCTTTACGACTTCAATTTATCGTGTGTGGCCCTTAGCCAGGGGAGTTAGCCATCTGAAAAAGGGGACATGGTACATGATTTGTGCGGAATTAGTCTGTATAAAGTAATTTTTTCAGACTAAAGGCTTAAAACCATGTTAGTGAATGTCCGCAAATGCTGATTCATTCGCTTTAGATAACTTTAATTACCTGGGAACATGTGCTTTATGCTTGTTAGGTGCGCCTAACGCGCGAGTCATAACTCGGGCTGTTCTGAGGACACTAGAACAAAGGAATCGGACAGGCTACCGGTGCATGCATAACGGGCAAAGAGAGCGACCTTCAAGGGACGACACGCGAGCGAACAAGGACAACCGCGGTCGGGGTCTGCCATCCGTGAGGTCATGCCTGGCCAGGGGCAAAGCGCGCGCGCCAAGCGTCACGATGAGGACACGATGGCTGAGGTACGATGACTCCTCGCATGGACCACTAGTCGAGGAACCAATAGGGAATAAAGGCTATGGATTAGTACTGACTGGAATGGGTGCAAAGCTCCAAGTTCTGGGTTTTTGTATGAGTAAATAAGAGGGTTGGTCAATGCAATCACTTACATGGGGGTCCAGAACGCCAGTATAAAGGCGGAATTTTTTGTATTAAAATGCGTCTTCTGCCCTCTCCACAGCCTTGCCGATTAATTGCTTATCTGTTAATTGGAAGAATGGTCATTCGACACCGAATAGACCAACAATAAAACAAATTGGTAATTTGCCGGTTATAGAGAAGACTACTAAAAGAAGAATCCGCCTATCCCTGTACGTAAACCATAAGCATCGTCCAAGTCAGTAAAAGTGACGAGAAAATAACTTGGTATAAAACTTAATTTGTTGCTGGCTTCCCACTCGAAGTTGTATGGCGTTTTTTAAATTGAGTATTTTAGCATATTAATACGGGATGGTTTAATGTCACCCTCTCCGATGAGGATGGAGTTCGGAAATACTTTTGTTACTATAGGGTGCTCCAATTCCCGCGGCCGCATTCAACATAGAAACTATCCTATTACATTGGCCTCTACGACTCAGTGGTTTGTGAATCTTTTTGTCATTTTAAAATCGTCCTCCCCGAACCGTTTGCACGAAGTGTAAAGTTACCCCGAAGTCGGTCCACTTCTGAGAGAACTGAGTCGTTTTGCTACATTGTAGCAGCAGCAGCAGCAGAGTCTAAGGGCTCTTAGAGCTGTTCGTTGGGTTAATCGAGTTCGTAGTGGCTACTGTTAATGTGCCTGCTTACCAAGGGCTCCCATGAGACAAGCATCTTCTCCGTTTGTTCTTCATGAAGGGATTTAACTTACTACCCAACGGGGAAAAACAATGAAATTCTGCCTCGCTTGTTGCCGTCAGTCAACGCTCTGGAAACGTCATATCGTGCACGTTTTCGTTTTCTGGAAAGTGAACGTGCAACTTTGAAGTAAAGTCTATGGAACTAACCGGCTCGGAGTCTTCCGAGAGGTGATTTGAATGTTTGAGCTTATTGTGGGATAACCGCGTTATGTTCACGGGCTGTCGATAAGGCGGCGGGAGTGGAGGGTTGACAATATGAACTCCAATTTCAATCATGCCTTAATACAGTACGACGCATATGTCGTATAAAAGCCGAAGTTTGCGAAAGTCTGATGATCACTCGCAAACCGACATTAACACACGTACTAAAACCTAGAAATAATAATGGACAGCCATAGGAAATTTTTTACATTAAGAGAAATATAAGAAGTACTAGTTGTTGGTTAATAAAAGAGATATTTTTTTAACAATCCCCAAGTTCCAGCGAGGTAAAAAAATAGACATAAATTAGAAAAATAAATAATAGTCCGACCGTAATTTGAAAGGCTTACGATGCGACTTTCTCTATATTCGAAGTAATTTTCTTTAGTTAAATGGTATTGTGCATATTACTGTTATTGGACAACAATTTATTGAATATCATCCTTTAAATTCAGGTATATTTTGGGTGTTTTTAGTGCCTTCAAGCTTTCGTTCATAAGTCCACAATCCTTTCGACGCTTATATCAAAACCTTCAAAATAAGTTATCGATTAGGAACATTTACCGAGAAAAAATGAGTTTCTGGATATTAGCCCTTGTGAAGATGGCCATGTGAGCCATAATTATAAATGCCTTTGAACAACAAAACACACCGTCGTTCAAAAAGAACGTCCGCACCAAAAGTCTGATAGCGCTATTCTTAAGATTATTAAGAAAACTTTCCGTGATTGTGACCTCTTTAAAAAGCACTTTCATTAGGTTTTCAGCTGACGAATTTCTGTGCATGTTACCTTTTTCCAAGGTAATGTAGAAATGAAA